CAACTGATTTTGAAAATTTCTGGAAACAGGGAGAAAACATGTTGACTCAATCATCATGTTTTTGCTTGCGCTTTTCATGATAGTGGATGCTATAAATAGCTATGGAAGTTTATTATTTCATTATGCTACTTCTTGCGTTCAATTGGATTGATGTTTTAATCTTGAAAGCTGTTTGTGAATCTTCTGTTCTGTTCCAAGATATTATATGAATAGATTATATTAATGAAATAACTGACATCTGCATGCTTAACTTTATCACGCATGGTTCCAGAAAACAGTATATGTGTAGAATTTTTAGTACTTAAAGAGGTCCCACTTATAGCAATATAAATATATTTAGAAATATATTTATATACTTTCATATTGCTTCTTATATGGAAATATAAAAATAATATTCAATAAAATAAACTCATTTAAAGGATGTACATTCTTCTAATAGTCATATTATGAAAAACTGACCAAAGACATCAGGCACTGGATTTCAGGGACAGAACATTCTAAGGTGTGGATGCCACCAAAAAGAATTATCTCTCTATGAACGTTTGCCAGGTGGCATTCAGCAATCATCAGTATAGTATATGCAGCACAACCTGCCCTGATGATATCAGTGATGGACCAGATCTATAATGGCAAAAGTGATCTGATAATATCCAGTTCTCAGGCTGTTTACAGACTTTTGTGTCGAAACCAAAACTTTGAATCTGGTTTGGTAACTAATTGACAACCAGTGCATTTCATTCAACAAAGGTGTATCACATGTGAAATACCTCATTTAGCAATCTGTCTACATATATACTGTTCCACTGTGAACTTACCTGGTATTTTCAGGCAGTATTACGAGGGAAATAATAGGATCATGTCTCTAGATACTTGACATAGCAATAGCACTTAGACTTATATACAGGTTCACAGCGCTTTACAACCTTCTCTAAGTACAGAAGTTTAAAGAGTCAGCATATTGCCCCCAACAATCTGGGTCCTCATTTTACCGAACACAATAGGATGGAAGGCTTAGTCAACCTTGAGCCGGTAAGGCTTGAACTCCTGGTAGTCAGCAGAATTAGCCTGCAATACTGCATTCATCAGGAGATGGTGGCTTAGATTAATTTATTCATTTTACTTGGCTTAGATGCCACTTCAACTGCAAATACAACCACATGATATATACAATATTCTTAAATGCAGTAGTAGAATTAAAAGAGCAAACCACAAGAAAGTATAATTGATTACTTTTCAACCAAGGAACAAGCAATAACCAAGTAATGACATTTTCCTGTAGGTGGAATCAGTACATCATATCAGAACATTTGATCTGAAGAGATGTTGCAGGAAAAAAAAGGAAGAGCAGGGACTTGCAAAGTGTTTCTCTTCCAGTTCTTATAAAAAGGCAGAATCCACTGTATGGAGAAAACCTTACAGATAACCAGGTGATAAGCTATATAGGGGATTAAAGGTGACAATCAGATTTGAATTGCAATCAGAGGTCAATCTGTAATAAGTGCAACTTTTGAAGTAATATTAGTACCTTGGCAAACTGTTGTTCATCACTGATTGAGCTGATGTATTTTAGATCAGCTGTAATTTCTAGGTGGTCTTCAAGAACAGCCTCATGCACAACATGTTACAACAGTCTAAATGAGAGAAGAAATTTCTAATCTTTGATCCCCTATTCCTCAAATAGCTTATCATTATAAAAACTTGCTGAAAAAAACACACCCTTGATTTGCTTATGGAATATTAACAAGATACACATACTTTTGCAGGAAGACAATTCAATAAAGTAAAAGTTGCCACAAATAAGAAATGTCATTTGCCTACACTCCAAGCCTCAGATATTAAAAAAATTTTCCTTATGATCACACTAGATGCATGCCTATTATTGCCTATACTGCTGCACTGAAACTTTTGAGTCAATTTTCAAAGGCAGCACTATGTAGAGATTGAGTATCTGAGGACATGAGTGACTGGAGGGTCTCCCAAATCAAGCAGTGCAACTTATACCCAAGAGAGCTGATGCAAAGGCCTTCTTGATCATATCTGTCATAATCTACAAGCACAGAAGCATCCAGGTGATTGGGCAGAGCCTCCTGCTGCCGCACTACTGGTTCGCCCGATCTGGGCCGAATTGGGAGCAACCCACCTCTGGTTGAGTTCCAAGTGGGGAAAAAGACACTGCATTCATGGAAGTTGTTTGGAAAGAAGGTTTATTGATGGTGGACAGGACCACGTGGTTTGAGGTCCTGGGGGAAAAAAAGGGAAGAGATGCTGAGAGTGGCCTGGTTTTACACCCTTTCTGGGCTTTTGAATTTGAGCTTGTATTCTGATTGGTTGTCAGACTCCCATGGCCCCATATAGGGGCAACTCTGTAAACTGTCCCGAGTCCCAAGCGTGGAAAATGATGTAATGAAAGGGCTTTGGGCAATTCCTACTATGGCTCTCCATGAAGGAGGTAGATCTTTGTTATGTAGAATAGACTGGCTCAGGCCTTAATGGTCCATTGACAAAGGTGGGGGGGTGAGTTTCTGCTTCCCTTTTAGGGGAAATAGTCTGTCCTTTTAATATTTCCTAAAACATCTCATTTTCCTAGGAGAGGGTGTGTGCTAACTTTCTACAATAT